AGACGCCATCTCGCCCCGGTAAACACCGGTAACAAAAATGTCAACAAAACTGACGAAATACAATCAATTGTCACATCATCAATATTTTGTTGTAAACACGAATATCCAATGATTATATAAGTCAGAAAAGTAGGGTTAAAAACCCCGTCTTACCACCGATGTTTGACGATTATACAACAGGTAAACAAACGACGTCCATTGACCTTGAAATCATCACCGGAACCCAAAACATACCAAGTTCAATGACCATTACTTTGCATACAAGCTTTTGACTGTAAGGAATAATATGATGAGCTCATTGTTTCTTTTTTTTCGCTTGATGACAACTGACATTTCAATATCTGTCTTCACTACAAGTACACAGGAAAAAGCAAACGATGACGGGCAATGCCAGTTTTTAGGCCATTTCAATGCGGGAAGAAAAATGTATTCCCAAGCGGGGAATCGAACCCCGGCCGCCGCGGTGAGAGCGCGGAATCCTTTTTTTTTTCTTGTAAAAATAAAAATTTTATTATCCCAGCAATAGGGTCTCAAGGGTTGGGGCCCTTGAGATTCCTCACAGTGTAATCATTTCATAATCATGTATTAAAAATAGATAAAAGGTAAAAAGAAAAATCACATGTTTCATAACAAAGTAACCATAACTATCACAGACGAAAGTTTTACAAATTAACTGAGACACGATCGTCAATCACAGATACAATATTGTTATCACAAATAAAGTATTTTCGGAAAAGTGAAACATTGTTTTTCTTTCGATAGTGATTAAAAGCATAGTTGATAAATTTTTTGACTGTAAACTTAAAGAATCGCAATATTGGAACACTACCTTCATTTAACATGACCATATTTCTTCTTTTGTAAATACAAAATCGTGCCACACTCAAAACAAAGTTTATGAAGTACGAGTTAACATTTTTTGAATTTCTGCCACAGCCTAAAAGAACTAGCCAATCATAATTGAGTACATTCACAATTTCCGAAGGCACTCTAATAAACAAACTATCCAACATATCGGTTAAAAAGACGTTAAGGGTAGATAACTCTGGACATCCAATAAATAAATGAAAAAGATTACCTGGTGGCTACTGGCATACCGGACATGTATTGAATCTGACATACCACACTTCATCAATTTCTTTTTCGTAAAAATAGCGTTATGTGCAACTTTAAAATGGAGCTCGACACACTCAGCCGGATAATAAGGCACGTGTACCATTCTATAAATACTGTCGACCTCGAGCGCGGAATCCTAACCACTAGACCACTTGGGACATGTGTATTGAGATGACTTGACTGTTTGTGCTTGACGGTCTCGTAACAATTTGCAGCAGGAGCAAAGATAACGGTTCCTCTAACGTTACACATTGGAACTGTGTACACTGTTACTCTTGTGGTGGCTAAGGCGGATGGTTCGTCATGTACGTATGGGATGTGGAACAACTATACATAAACGAATCAAGTGAATAGCACAGTTAACGGAGTTTTAACTAGAAGATTCCTTGAGTTAGACGTTGTCAGTCTGAATCCGAGTAGTGTTGATGTTATCGACCAATCTGTTTTCACAGGTTAGTTCTAGCTCGAAATTCACCTACACAGATATAGTGTTTTAAAAGTTCACGAACACATCACTCAGATGTTCTTGGAAAATTGATGGAGATCATCTATGAATATCATTTAATGTTTTCGTAATCTGGGGAAGCAAAATATGAATTTAATTGAAAACGCCACACCGTCATTGATTGAAATAAACATAACTTAGTACTGAACTGGCGAATCTTATTCGAAATACATGGATAACTTCAACGCGAATTCAATTCCACAATGATATTATCATTAAAGTGAAAACGTTTAGCATGATTTGACAGCAACTTATCAGGTCAGGAGGGTCGAGCGGTCTAAGGCAACTGTGTACACTGTTACTCTTGTGGTGGCTAAGACAGATGGTTCGTCATCTTTGTATGGGATGTGGAACAATTATACATAACCGAATCAAGTGAATAGCACAGTTCACGGAGCCTTAAATAGAAAATTCTTTGAGTTAGATGTTTCCTTCTGAATCCGAGTAGTGTTGATGTTATCCATCAATCTGTTGATCATGCTTAAACTTTTTCTCGAAATTCGTCTTCTCAGATACAGTACTTAAAGGTTCACGAACACATAACTTTGCTTTTCTTGGAAATTTTATGGAGATGATCTATGAATATTATTTTATATTTTCTTAATTTGATGAAACAATATTTTCTTAATTTGTTGAAACAAAATATGTATTTAATTGGGAACAACGCACCGTCATTGATTGGAAACACTATAACAAAGCACAAAACTGGCGAGTCTTATACGAAATACATGGATAACTTTAACGTGAATTTAATTGCACAACGATGTTATCCTTAACGGGCAGAGTTTCGAGTGCGATTTGATCCACATTTGTCAAGTCAGGATGGCCGAGCGGTCTAAGGCGCTGCGTTCAGGTCGCAGTCGGGTCTTCCCGGCGTGGGTTCGAATCCCACTTCTGACATACAGTTTTTTCATCGTTAACATTCACCTCACTTAACATTACATCGTACCGGTAAAAAGGTTTTTTCTAATATATACCTCCACGGGACGGTTGCTTAACATACATTGTTATAGTTGATAATTAATTCAATAATTCTATAATCGTATCATTTCTTATCAGACTTGTAAGCAAATCGACTTTGAATTTCTAACATACAAAAATTTCTTGATAACAAAGAAACTAGATGTGTCGGTGCGACATAAAAACCCTTGCTGGCAACCAATGAAAATGTTCTTGTCATAAATTATTTGAATAGTTGTGCCCATACCTTTATCAAACTGTGTTGGTGATAAGTTGAATCAAGGCTCACATCTACAGAATGAGCGTGATATGAAAGTTTTTTTTGTTTTTTTGTTTGTTTTTTTTTTTTTGTTTTTTTTTTTTGTTTTGTTTTTGCGTCGAAGTCAAACAACGTCATGAATAGGCCAGAGGACATTACAAGAGGCCGCAATACCACCAGCAGATTCTGCAAATGTTTGTGAAATAAAATAGGGAGTTTTGACAGTTGATAGTAAAGAATATGAAGTAGAACCGAAGTTGTGTCTGTTGAGTTTGTGGTCAAGAATCATAAGTGAAATTGGAGACATAACTTTAGATTCTATGGCAAATAATTCTAAATGAATTTTGCCGATTTCAGCTTACAGACACATTGGTAGAGATCGTGATATCAAATTTATACCCTGCTTGCATGATCTAGGGTTAATGATATGAAAATATATATCAAATAAAAGTTATATACAACAGAGAAAACAATACCATAAGTTACTAATCTAGATCGTGATGGACACACAAATGACAGATATCTAAAACCAGAATAATAAATTGTGAAATATTGTTGCTCGGTTGCCATCTTTCATAAACTTCCATTCTAGATCGATAAGGCTCTGATGTTTGCTTATTTCCTTATCTACAAAAATATACTGTTTCCGGGAAAATTTCCTAAAACGTACCAAGATCAATGACCATTATTTTTCACACAAGCTTCTGACTGTAGACGAATGATAGCATCAGCTACATCTTATTTTATTTATTGATATTTTGTTTGTAGATAACTCACATTTCAATATTTGTCTTCCCTAAAATGTAGACAAGCACAAACAAAAAACGACGTGCAATGCCAGCATGAGTTGATCGGCCGTTTGAATGCGGGAAGAAAAATGTATTCCCAAGCGGGGAATCGAACCCCGGCCGCCGCGGTGAGAGCGCGGAATCCTAACCACTAGACCACTTGGGACATGCATATTGAGACGACTTGACTGTTTGTGCTTGACATTGGAACTGTATACACTGTTACCCTTGTAGTGGCTAAGGCGGATGGTTCGTCATCTATGTTTGGGATGTGGAACAATTATACATAACCGAATCATGAGAATATCACTGTTCACGGAGCGTTAAACAGAAAATTCTTTGAGTTAGACGTTGTCAGTCTGAATCCGAGTAGTGTTGATGTTATCCATCAATCTGTTAATCATACTTAAACTTTTCTCGAAATTCGCCTTCTCAGATACAGATCTTAAAAGCTCAAGAACACATGAACTCTGATTTTCTTTAAAGTTTTATGGAGATCATCTAAGAATATTATTTAACATTTTCTTAATTTGATGAAACAAAATATGTATTTAATTGAGAACAAGGCACCGTCATTGATTGGAATAAGTATAACTAAGCACAAAACTGGCGAGTCTTATACGAAATACATGGATAACTTTAACGTGAATTTAATTGCACAATGATATTATTCTGAGCGGGCAGAGTTTTAAGTACGGAACTTCGCCCATCGTCTCTGTGGTTTTTGTGGAAACAGCTTTCCTCGTATCAGTCTCATATTTGTAGTAGTGTGGCAAAATTATGGTTAATAAGTCCAAACTGTGAGCTGCTATGTGCCAAATGTAAAAGGAGGTCTTTGGACGCTCTAGCACATTGCTTACTTGATTGTAATCATCCAGATTTGGTTGCTTTTCGTGATGATTTTTTCACAAATATTGTTAACAATTTTCCCGTTGAACTGTACGTCACACTAGATAATCTAGAAAGACAGGACTGTATTTGTATCATGTTAGGACACATACCTGACGATGTACGGGAACTACTCCCAGATGAAGAATATTGCACAAAGTTTGCATACGAGTGTTGTTGCTTTTCGGTTAAAGCTGTTGATTTCACTTTTCAGTGAATCTGTATATGTTCTTATTTGCATTCAAATGGAATACTTATATATATATATATATATTTGTATTATTGTCTCTAAATTATTTTCCCATTTCATATATTTTTCCATGGCTATTTTCGTCTAAGTACTATTCCTAATTGTCATTAATATTGTATGTACCTTATATATTTGTATTAATTTTCTGATTCTTTGTCTTAAATTTGTAATGTACTCTTCATTTCTGGAGGAATAAAGTCAAAGAAGAAGTACGATTTGACACTCATTTACCAAGTCATGATGGCCGAGCGGTCTAAGGCGCTGCGTTCAGGCTGCAGGCGGGTCTCCCCGGCGTAGGTTTGAATCCTACTTGTGACATACAGATTTTTCATCGTTAACATTCACCTGACTAAACACGGCTGTATCCCGATTTGCCCACTATAAATGTAAGTATAGTTATATTATTCAATTACACAAACCATCGACCTCAAATACAAACAATTATAAGATGATCCCAGAAGTGGTGATGATAGTGCTGTTACCAGATAGTGAACACTGTTCCATGTACACACATAATCATTATGATAATGCTAGCTGATGATGAGCAGGTATCCCAAACCACAATGATTATTTACACCACGCACACCCCATACAGCGTGATGCAGGAGGAGCAACAAGACCACGTGCGAAGAGATATCGAAGCATCGACAACAGACTGGCCAAACATAAGGAGCGATTCCAGACTCAGAGGATCAACATCATGGAGTACGCCGACGCAGCATCACATCTTCTACACCTGGGATGAATTCCTCAGTTTTATCATGTGCAATGTGCTGGACTGATAATAATGTGCAATGTGCTGGACTGTCACACATCCTTTAGAATACTATGTTTTATTTTATTTATATGTATGTAATGCCAAACTTTCTTCTTTTTGTATGTTTAATTGTATATTATATGTAAAAGAAATGATAAACTTTCTGCTTTGCATGTTGAATTTTATTTATATGTATGTACTGTGTAAGAAATGATAAACTTTCTGCTTTTGCTATCTAATATAATGTGTATAATAAAATAAATGAAATCAAATAAATTGTAATGAAAAGTGCTGTTCTGTAATGTGTACTGATTAACTTTCTGCTTTGCTATTATAATAAGATAAATGAAACAAAGTAAAATAAAATGTAATGAAAGGTACTTAGTGTAGACTACAGGTATAATCTCAGGTATTAGCTCACACAGGTAAAAACACAGGTAAATGAACTCAGGTGAAATCTATAGTTAATCTAAAACTGACTATGAGTGGTTTTCTATTGTCTTCCTAAAACAACACCTTTCTTTGTTTAAAAAAGTGGGCAAATCGGGAACACCCCATCAAGAGTACTTGATAAAGATATCTTTTGTCTCCAAATAGCATGTTTTAACTGCCTCGGCTTTTTTCTAAGCTGATTCCAAAATGAAATGATTATACTTGACTTGTGAATAAATGACGAGAAAATTCCCATGAGACGAATACGGATTTAGAGTTAGGAGTGCGGCCTCCACAATTCAACCTTCCCATCATTTCCCGTTTCTGTTACAGTTTAATATGTACTGTTATTTCATTCTCTTGTATGGAAATATTTACTAAAATGTTTGTCGGTATCAATATGAAAATATAAACTTTCATAAAGGAAATCGTTGTTTACAACAGATGAAAGGACTATACCAATGACTAGAGGATTTACATCCTAGTCCATTCCTAACCTAATTTAACAAATATAACACATACATTGACGTATTTTGTATTCCGATAGAGAACTGCAATAGGAAACTGAGGGCTGCAGTTTTGTTACACGAGACTGAAGAGTAACATACCTGTGTGAAGAGAAATGAATATGTTTGACGAATCGGAGACAAGACTTTTGACATCAGCCGGAATATGAAAGCACACTTCTATTACGATAACACGCTTCAGCTCAACACGTGTCCCTGTGGCCGGGGAGGAGACAGGGCTTAGCGAATACTTTTCACAAACTTGTCTTTCCATAAGTAGTAGAAAAATTGACATGGAAAGCGAAAGTGTAATTATTTTTACAAACTCGCGGTCCGATGTATTCATTACTTGTTTAAAATACATGGGCTTAATTTATATTTCACAGTTAACTTATTGGCTGCCAAAGAAAATAGATAGATAAATAAGTAAATAAGTAAATGAACACAGCTCAAATTAAGGTAAGATGAACAATAACTTTATGGTTATTTTTCAGGTCATGTATGAAACTTAAAGTGACTACTTACACAATAGGAAATATCCGGACTTCACACCTTATCAGAATGCAATAGCTAAGTTTTTCAATGATTAACTTCATTACTGAAATGGAGATGCTTGTCATTACCCTATTGTGTGCTTACAGTGTGTTAAGTCCAACTCCAGTCATACCTCTCTCGAGAGATGTAGAACTTCCATTTCTAATGCCAATATCAAACAGACTGTACAGACATCCATACAATCAATTACTGAAGGCTTGAATCTAATTAGTGGACAACTATTGCAACCAGAACATGTCTTTCCTTCCTCACCCCCCAATATCCGTCTTTCATTCATATTTTCTTTCATCGTCTTTTCTTTCCCTTTCTGGTATTTTGTATCGATATTACTACAGACTTTTGTTTATTGTAATATTGGGATAAGCCAGGAAACTTTCAGAACTTGTGCCCTATCCATTTGATTATTTGTTTTTACTAAAATAAATTCTAATTAAATGATATGGTGTTACCAAATCAAATTCTAGCTCGGCCTAAACCCTAAATGTAATCAAGAGCAAATATTTAAAAACAAATTTTTTAAAACTGTATATGAGGGATTATTACTGTTGGTCTTTAAAATAGTTACTTTGAACGTATAAATATATATATTTGAATTCTATAATTAAATATAAATCATATTTATATGATCCATCTTTTAAGTGTAATATATGCTTTAGTGAATTTATCGATCTGTACTGATTGACCGCGTGTACAAAGGTCGATAACTCTGTCTTCCCTGTAGCTATATTTCAAGTTCGTTATTACCTTACGTTAATTAAACCATCTGATACAGAAAAGTAACAACGTAAATTTTATAACAGTATACAAACACGTGATTACAGACATCATACAGACCCGATGAGAGCAAGCTTTTGGCTCAATTGATCTCTTAAAACGTAAGCAACCTAAACGCATATTTAAACAGTTTTGTAATTTCTATTGTGATTTTACATTAAATAGAGCAATTATTTAAAAAATACTAGGATTTTTCTGTAATAGTATATTTTTTTCAAAAAATTCTTTCTCATGTCCGTGTAACAAGGACATTTCAATATGAAATGAAACTCATCTTCTGTATCAACTAAATTACTTAATTGTTTGTTTAGATCTCTTACACATTCGTGATAGTTTGTAATATATCTGGCCGAGACATTAGAAGCACAAAGGAATTAACAAACATCACAGTCTAAATAAACAATACACCTGGAACAATACGAACACCTGTTTTATAAATAACATTACACTAGTCCCAACATTTACTGTTCCCATTTAGTTAGATTTGTCGAATTTTCACGGTCGACTAGCCAAATACAAAATTATTTAAAAGAACTACAATTTGAAATTGATATTGATAAGTTTCAATTATACCTATTTTTGTGATTTAAACGGGTAGATTTTTCTATATTTGGTTTCTAAACAGTTTAGAATTGCTTATAATACATTAAAATATATGTTTCCTTATAAATGCCCTTTATAATCATGCAACGACTTTGAGCCTCAAATAGAAACAAAGATTTCTATTATAATTGATACATAACCGACAACCGTCCGTTGGTAAATGATATTCTGTATCTGTATTAACTTTTATAATGAAATACAATAAATATACAAAGCAAATTATTTGAATAGAGCTACCTGCTATTTATTACGGAATGAGCCCTTTATTCCGTTTAATATCAATTAATGATACTGAATGTCATATGTAAAACTCTGTTATTATAATTACAAAGAAGCAAAAGCAATGATTTTAATTAATATTGATACAAATACACAACAGTTCATTGAAGAAATTCGTGTCAAAATGCAACATTCACCTAGCGGTATCATATCATTGAATGAGCTTATAGGTTAAAGGTCATTGTATGATAAATTTGTTAAATGGGATAAGTTGTAAGTATACAATATCTTTCGAATATAATATATCAGCACATATAGTGCATTCTCACAAAGATAACAAATTCAAATTGCACTAAATGAAAAGATTAATATATGCAATGTGAAGGCAAGAGGCCCATAAGCCCGGTATCTACATTAGAGGAAAGATGTTTTAAAGATTTATATTTTTTTTTCTATGAGGCACATTCCCGTGCACCGTTACAAAACTTTGTTCCTTTCACTCAAGGTTCTTACAGATCAAATTTAGACAAAATTAAATCATTGCTTCAGTATTATAAGAATGTTTAAGGATTTGCAATGTTTTCAATGTTGGGACTCATCTCTCATGCACCAAGGGCCGAAACCCACTTTTTATACAAATTGAACTTTTCTACTCTTGGATGCTTAAGACTAAATTTGAAAAAATCTCATTCCTGTGATTTTAAAGTATTTGCTCTATTTCCTCCTTTGGAGTCAACCCCTCCGCCCCAGGGGACCAAATCCGTCGTTTATGAAAACTGATTTCCCTTTACCTAATGTTGCTTTAGATCAAATTGGGACAGAATCTCGAATTTGTAAGGAAAAGGGACTTAAAATAGTTGACCAAAGTTCCCATAGTAGACCCCGCCCCCAATAGGGCCAAAACCCACCATCTTTACAAAATTGGATATCCTATCCCAGGGATGCTTCTGACCAAATTTTGTCAAATTCATCACTAGTAACGATTTGTTGGAAAAGCTGACAGACTCACTTAGCTGAAGGACGAGATATACCAAAAGAAAAGAAAATCCAACAGATCTAAAAATTAATCACGAGAATAAATACAAAACAAAACAGAAACCGACCAAACACCTTCAGCATATCAAAAACGACAGATACGAGAGACAGGGTATCATCAAAACCAGTGCTGATTTGGATAACAAGTCAAATGGTTCCGAAATAAAAATTACTAACTGCAATCAAGCATGCTTTTCATATTTCCATTATCGTGTTCTTATCGAAGATGGCAGTGCTTTAATTTGAAGTGAGGTATGGCCGAATGTGATACAAATGGACACTTTTTAAATTACGTATTTAGCATTCAGATGGTTATGGAACTTGATAACGTTTGTTTTAAAATATCTGATAGCATTCTAAATAAAATTTATTTTAAATTTAGCATACAGAAACGTAAGATAAATTATACGGTTGAATTTGATTTCCAACACAACAAT